AATCTTTTAACCCCTACAGTACAGACACCCAGCACCTTTGTTATGCTGTGGTGGCATTTTACAGGCGTGGTTTGGGTCAATAGAGAGAAAGGTCACAAATTACAAATTAGTACAAAGTTGGTCTGAATGACCAGCTTTGTTATATGATTTCAACTAGTTTATGGAACTATTCCTGTCGTATGTGGTGGCCTATCTCCTTATCAGTTTTTTTTCTTGAAGTTAGTTATTTGGAGTGAGGCCAGCAGATACTGATCAGCTACAGATCCTTTTGACAGAATACTTGTCAGTCAAAGTAGCCCTAAATCAACTCAAATTAATACTGTAGCTGCCCACTTAGAATTACCACTCGTGACGCAGAGGGCTTCGACTGATGCAACTTTATTCTCTCCTCTTTAAACCACCGACAATATGGCACCGTGAAAACTATAAAGATGCACAAACAAATACCATTAAACATTTAAGTAAAAAGTGCAGAAATGTTCACATTTTACCATAGAAAATTATTTTGATTAACTCAAATAGTGACATTGACATAAATCAATAGTTTTTAAACTATTTATGTTACAGCATTTAATAAAATGAATTAACGACAACCTTTCTGTCTCTTAAATACATAAAAATCATTTGCATCATTAAACCAACCTCTTTCTGCTTCCAAGGGTGCTAATCATGCTGAACCAGCTAGCCAACTTCCTCCATGCACATCTCTTAGCCAGTCTTTCTACACCACAAACAAATTACATGCATATACAATAAAAAACGAATTCAACCACATTGAGTAAACTTTCAAAGTTATAGCATGTGACAGATAAATAAAATACATAGTTTGCATGAGTATTTTCAAAAAATAAACGTTTTTACTCACTCTGAAGCAACGTGTTTGTGTCGTTTCACTGAGAACAGAACAGGAAGTCTGACACAATAAAAGAAGAAGTGCTAAGGTACCCTTCAAAATAAAAGCACAGAGTAAAGTGGCTTTGCCGGCATTTACAAATACTACTCAATTCATTTTACAACAGTAGTTGCCTTACGGTGCTTTATATTGTAAGGTAAAAACCCTACAATAAACTCCGGTTTATAGTGTACATTAAAAAAATTCCAGTATATAGATAAATGACAGAATGAGTTATGACAGAATGCACATTTGTTATGAAGGGGCAAACTATACATACAGTAAAAGCCAAAAACTTCCTACTAGCCTCTAAACGTGTTATTTCATATTTTAAAGTTAGGTATTTTAACATGGAAGTATATGGCGATTGAGTCACTTTTGGATCTAAAACCAAGTGTCCATTTGTGGAACTGCAACTTTTTAAACTCTGCCTTGGCTTAAATTTTTCAGGAGGTTTCTGCAGAACAAGCATAGTACTAGCACATCCATAGTTAATATGATATCTGAGTTTAAATCAAATTGACTAACTTTTCCATTCCTGACCTGTTAGTGTGGCTACAGAAAAAAAAAAGGCAATACTAAAGAACAGATGGTAAAACTAAATGAGGAATTTGAGGGTTGCCATTGCATGATAAGCAGAGTTTTCCTTTTTCTGATATTCAGACCAACTTTGGTACAAATGCATATAAACAGAAAATGTTTACCACTGTTTACCGCCCAGTTACTGCTAATGGGAAATAAATGTGCCTTCCTGCAGCACTATCCAGATGCCCCAATTCTGCATGTGGAAAAACTTTCAGCCTGGATAGACTTTGGAGTTTCTGAGGCCTGAGGCGAACTGTGAGACAAAAGACTGGCAGGGAGAGATGAATGAGCAGTGTAAAGAAGAGGAGTGAGTAGAGTAAAGAGAAGCTAGGGAATAGAAGATTGACTTCAAGGGCAAGAGGGAGAGAGCAAATGAATGGAAGAACAAATTAGTCAGGAGTGATAAATTTTGACAGGAGTTGGAACTAGAAAGCCTGTGAAATAATGCTAGAGACACATTACTTTTGTAGTTGGAGGATATTTCTTAATGAAGTTTTTATATTTTCTCCTTTACTTTGCACCAGACACATTTACCTTATATGCAAAAGATGTCTGCTTTTAGGTTAGGAGGACAAAAAAAAAACAGCATCAGGAAATCACGCGATCATTTAAAACTAGCAGCAATAACGAGCCCGGATAAATGGGATGGTTGCCAATTTGCAAGCACAAGACAATGGTTATTGTAAAGACTGACATTCCCGTAGTTGAATATTGAATCAAATTTGCTCAAAGCACAGCTATGAAAAAGTGCAGCTTCTCAGGAGTGTTAGCATTTAAATATCCTGTGCAAAAACATCCAGCAGATGAACCCGTAGCCTCCCTTTCCCTCTGGTGTTATCGCTCATCTTACCCTGATTATGTTAAAAGAATGGCTGTCAGTTAAATACCAGGCATCTGGCCTCAATGTGGCAATATTTTGAGCTCGAGACACTACACAACTATTGGCTGCATTTGGCACTGAGAAAGCCAACACAGCCAAAGACATGTAACCAGAGGGCTTTCCTGTTATGCTTTTGCCTAGTAACCATGTCCTCACATTACATTATAACTCTGTAATCACAATAAACTGTAATTTCAATCTCTGGATGAATGAATAAGACCTAAAACAGCAGTGTAAACAGGAAATGTGCTGTGTTTCATAAAGTGACTTGGTTCTAGAGTTGGTCTAATGAAAATCTGATATAGTCTCGAGTTATCTGTGTGTCTGAGTCACTGGCAGCTGCTTGTCAGATATGTGAGTGTTGGTGTTGGACATGAGCAGTGTCTGGTTGGGCAGCCTGGGCGAGCGCCGAGTCTCAGGCTTCTCCAGCTCTAGTGGGAGTAACATGAACAGAACTCTCTGTGCAGCCACTCTGCATAAGAACCCAGACCGCATTGTCAAAATAAAACAGTATAAATTCTCAGAAAGCCTATGTTTGTCTTTTTTTTTGTGGCCGGATATCTTTCACGATGGCATTGGCTTGTCCTGCCTCGTATATCTGTGTCCACTGTTGGACGACTTTAAATTCAGTGTTATTCTAACTCTTTGTAAGTTAGGAAGGTCGTGTGTGATTTTAGCTGCACATTCTGCGGTTTAGAGGGGGATAAGTCATATACAGCACATGATTTTGTTTTTCCCGATACTTCCAATTATATATATGTTAGATATAATTAATGTTACATATTTATTCATTATAGTTTCTGCTGTGTTTTGACGTAAATATACATCATTATGCACAGGTAGCATGCTACATACCAAGGCTTTTACTTTCCTAAAAATAACCTAAAACACAATATATGTGAGATACTGTTCTTTACTTGTATCACTCAAAAGAATAACATATATACATTAATGATACTCCTATCATGCTTCAGTACAGCCACCATATTCCTGTGGTAATCAGTTTCCTCTGACAAGTTTGTTCTTGTCTTAATCACAGTACCATCTCCATTACTGATGTTAGCTCAAATAAGGAAATGCTTGGTTAAGTCTTTGTGGGGTCTCAGTAACTTCATTAAAAGGAAACCCCCCTATCAACACTTAAATGTAAAGCACAATACGCCTCTTTGTTCTTGCTAAGATGAATGCTGTGGCATTGTGGGGGACCATGTGGGCGTGGGCACACATGACATTTATGTCAATTATAACCGAGAGGAGAAAAGGCATTCTGACTTACTGCCCTTGTTTTTTCTATTCTCTGCTTGGGCTTTGAGGGTACAGCTGAGGGCTGCGTTTCTGTGGTAGAAAGGCACAACTTTACAGGCTTTTCTTTGGACCTGACATCCTACACCAACCACCATCCCTGTGGGACACCCTTGGATCCCCACCCGAGAAACTAGGGAGAACCACCTGTTTCTGGACTACAGCAAGGGAGTAAAGCAGCAGAGGTAGCCTTTGTGGTGAAACAGCCTTGAGAGTGGACCGAATAGTGGCAATTTCAAAGGGGTCCTAGTACAGAGGAATGTTTGGATTCCAGCAGCTTATACCAGCACACCCATATGAATGGCTGATTGAGTGGGAGTGGAAGAACGAGATAAAAAAAAACAAAGAAGAAAGACAGGGCTGATAGATTAAGGAAGGAAAAGAATGGTGAGCAGAGCTGCAAATGTGTAAGGGAGGGGATCTGTAGGGTGAGTATAGACGAGAGCAACACCAGGGAGGGAATTACTACTGTCACTCCTCTTCAAACCCACCTGTAACAACCAGAACAGCTGTACACCCAGTCAAAGGAAGAGAAAAAGACTCAGTTAAGCCTCGCTGTGGGACGGAAATACTGTTGGGCAAGCTGCGGCAGGTGAAGTTGGAAGCGTGTACGGCAGAGGAAGTACCACAGAGATGATGTCTGGGAGACGAAATCAGTGTCGTCACCCCATTTTTGATGACTCAGAGGAAGCCAATGGGAACCACGCAGATAATGGACCAGAACCAGAACCCGAGGAACTGGATTGGGATAGCTATAGCACCACGCTGGAGCACAGAATAGCAGCTGTGGGTAAAGCATACATTAAAGTAAAGCATATATTAGGCTAATTCTGGAGTATATATTGTGCTGGGAGAATTTTGTTTTTTTTAAGATAACCGGTGTCTTCATAGCAGGAAAAGCACACAAGTTACTCTGTAGACATTTAAGTTCTCCAGTAAACACCACAAACTAAAGCAGGTAAATGTTAAAAATGCCAGTTGTCTGACATTTTATTCTTTATTTGTATATTTAATTATATTCCTTATTACTTATAATAATTATTTTATTGCTTATACCTCTGTGTCTCCTCCTGTGACATATGGTAAACTTGAGTTTAAGCTAAGTGAAGAATTTGAAACTAAGTATAAATAGTAAAAAAGAAAAAAGAAAAAAAGTAATATGTTCTCTTAAAGTCTAGCAGTTGTGAATTACCAGGACAATTTTGTAGTTTTTGGCTTTTGGCTGTAGTTGGCTTTTGAGACTGTGTATGAAGTGGTAGAAAAGGTAAGAGATATTAGCAGCTCTTTTAAATTAATTTTCGGGTGCTTACCTTAAATGTATGTACCTTAAATAACGCAGTAAATATAGACAAGAAAGCATGTAGAAGTTAAAGTTATCAAAAGTATAAACTTTTTTTTTTTTAAGTGACAGTCGTTGTGAAATGCTTAGATAGTGTAAAAATATTAGCAGTAGTTCTAATAGCAATGCTAGCTAAAACGCCACTGCTGCGTTATAGCTAGCATAGCAGGACAAGCTTTAAATACTATTTCGTTTAAAAGGTAAACAAGGTATAACACTTAACAAATGTTGTTCTTTACAGAATTATTAAGGATGTGTGTTTTATCATGGGGATTCTAGCTGG